CCAACATAGGCTGCATAAGGAAAATCAGAATGATTTTTTCGTTCATTTCATCTACACTTTCACAAGACCCTTTGCACATGCTTTAGAACACCAAAAAAATATCCTATTCACATCAGCAACACAAACAGAGAGAAACCAAGCAGAACACGATGAAGTCTGCTCAGACTCCAAAGCAGTGGAATGCTTTAAAAGTGGCAGCTAAAATGGAATAAGTACTTTAAATAGACATGTCAATATGACTAAAGGAAAAACATACGTACCCATAAGCCCTGTGGAGTAAGCAAATGGACTTTGATATGGGTACATTTCCTGGAAGCAAAACAGATAATTAGTATACAGCTTATAGACCGTTACCAACGAGAACTTAGCTGAGTTGGTACCCACTAAGTTCACAAACCTTGATTCTGAGTTCAGTGTCAGGACACACCGGCAATGCCAAGCACTAACTTTTCTTTCCCATTTAAAAACAAATTATACAGCTCAAAGACTGCTTGTTTCCGATATTCCATTAGATTATTGAACTAAACAATGTCACTGGAATCTGGTAGGTTCTCTTTGTATTTTGATGATGGTTTAAAACCATTATTCAAAAGAATTTAATTTATTTTTGTGCTAAGTATGCAGGAAAATTAATTCAAGGATTTTAATATTTTTCTACGATTAGAATTGAATCATGTCCTCCTTGTTTAGAGTTTTAGGTTCGAACCAATTATATTTGGTTCAAACCAATCCTGAAGTTCTTTTTCTGAAAATGGTTCGAACTAATATTTCTGGCTTCGAAACAAAAATTCTAGAAGGTTAAATTTTGACAGCTCAACTATCAGTTTATTCTTAATGAGTCATAGGGGATCCAAATGTCTTAGCACTTTCCAAGACAAGTTAGAAGAAAAAAGTGGAACCTAATTGGGGCAATTGTGAGGTGGCTTTGAATGGCTAAATGGGCTTTAATTGCAAGGCTCCCAACCAACTATTAAAAGAACATAAAAAATCAGATCTGTATGAACGAAGAAGAACGAACTACTCCAGTGATACAAGAAAACAAAGTTTGTTTTTGAAACTGTTCTGGATCTTCTTGTTGTTGTTGTTGTGAGCTTTTGGGTTAATTGTCTTACAAAGGTTTTATATTATTCTTGGATTAGGATAATCCTTAAAATGGTTGAGTGAGTTAAGATTCACTTGTGAGAGTTTAATCTTGCACTTGCAAGCAAAAGTTTGTTCTGGTTTAATCTTGCACCCGTAAGCAAGAGATTTCTAGTGGATTGAACTCTTGAGTAAGGAGGTTTGGGGAGTGGACATACTCAGGTTGGAGGAACCACTATAAATCACGGCTTGATATTCTCTTCTCTTTCTTTTTATTTTTCTGCACTTTATTTGCAGGATTGCAATTGATCTTTGTTTTATTTTACACAACATATTGTACATATATATTGAAAATTTCATTCACATTTTTATAAAGGAAAAGAAATGAGTTTTATATATTAGGAATTGAGGGGTAGCTAGCTGAGATTACAAGTGGTATCAAAGCAGGTTCTCCTAGAAATAGATTTAACAATCTTGAGTAGATCCATGGCTTTCCAAGCTCATTTTGTTGAAGGTCATTCAATCACTAGGCCACCTTATTTTGAAGGAACAAATTATCAATACTGGAAAAATAGGATACAAATTTGGTTAGAAGCAAATAGCTATAAGATGTGGGATTGTATTGCTAGATGACCATATAAAATCTTAGTTAGTGACAAGGATAACCAACTTGTTCCTAAGGATCCTGCATCATATGATCAAGCTGAAAAAAAGAAACTGGAGATTAATGCTCAAGCTAAAAATGCATTATTTTGTGCTTTACATCATAGTGAATATGATAGAATTAGTGCATGTGATTCTACTAAGCAAATGTGGGATAAATTACAAGTGGCTCATGAAGGAACTAATGAAGTCAAGAAATCAAAAATTAACATGTTGGTTCAAAAATATGAGCTGTTCAAAATGAAATCAGATGAAGACATTAAAGACATG